TCCAATGGAATATGGCACACTGGACATAAGTGTACCACTGCTGTAATGCTTGAATGATAACAAGCCTCCAGTCACTAGGTGGCAGCACCTCATACATTGGTTTGTACAGATTAAAATAAATATACATGTTATCAGGTTCTTAATAGTATTTCAATTTGTGGGGTGTGGGTCGGGGGCGTGATAACATTTCTGTCCACAAGAGGGGGCATGACAGACAATAATTAGGAAGCAGTTTTTATTTTATACTATCATAAACCATGTGTATTAAATAGATCCTCATTCAAGCTAATATTTTATAAAACATTTAACATTTCGGCCACTTTGTAGCTTACTCTTTGTTGGTCTGTGATTGAACACTTTTGAATCTGGTTTTGTGTTTCATTCTGAAATTTAAAAAGTTAATTCAAGGCCCATCCTCACGCTATCTGTGAGTTAAACATGTCACTTATATGGCCTTTGGTCAGTTGGTTCCTCCTCTCCTTCTCCTACCTGGTACTCGTCTCCATGTATGACAGAAAATGCCGCCTCTTCAGCCAGATGTTCCGACAGAGGTCCGTTATGAAGGAACGTCTCAGTGCTTTTGCCGGTCCTGACTTCTCTGATACTGGACACGTCCAGACGAGCTCGTTCCCCGTCTTTCTTGGAGGGCTCCCAGCGAAGGCAGCTGAGGTCGGGGTCCAGGGTGTAGAAGCGACAGTAGACCCTGGAGTTTGGTCGGATCTTCTTCAGCTCACATCCTCCCTGCATGAAGGCCAGGCAGTCTGACGCACTGCTTACCTGCAACAACAACAACAACAACAGTTTTTAACATTATATTCTGTGTTCCTGTGTGCAGCAGTGGGCTAGGTTCGCTTTTAAAATAAATCCGGTACCTTCTTCTCTGAGGGCATGCTGCTGAAAGACACCGTCTTCTTTCTGCCTCCGCCCATCTTCTGCACCATGGGATCCTGTGCAAAGAAAAACAAAACAAAACAGTAGGTCATAAGAATAAGAAGTATTTCTGCATGAAAACATTTTAATACATTAATATTGGTCTAAATGCATTGGTTGCAAAGTTGTGAAAAAAAAGGTGTGAATCTGTAGAATTATAAAAACAAAAACCTGTTCTCTGCAGGAGCACAGACTGAAGGAGGCAGCGATGGGACAAAACCATTGGATTTACACCAAATAAATAAATACATAACACTAGCGGTGAGGCTTCAACCAAATGAAATGAGCTGAACTTTCGGTGAATAATTTAGAGAACATGATCATAATCGGTCTGATAGTGGTCAAAATTTCAGGATCAAACTAAGGTTTAGCTGTTTCCAGAGGTGGGACCAAGTCATTGCTTTGCAAGTCACAAGTAAGTCTCAAGTCTTTGCGCTCAAGTCCGAGTCGAGTCCAAGTCAGGACTGAAAAGTGTCAAGTCAAGTCCGAGGTGTCGTTTCTGTTTCGAGTCCTTTCTAGTCCTTTTAAACAAAATAATAATATATTTACACAGATCACTTTGGGTTTTGGAGAAAGTATCAAGTCTTGTCGAGTCAAAGGGCTCGAGTCCAAGTGAAGTCACGAGTCGTTGATGTTAGAATCCAAGTCGAGTTGCAAGTCTGTTTACATTTTGTCAAGTCGAGTCTAAAGTCATCAAATTGACGACTCGAGTCTGACTCGAGTCCAAGTCAAGCGACTCGTGTCCACACCTCTGGCTGTTTCTAAAATAGTTCTGGCAAAGTCTTTGATGACATAAGCCTTAATAGACATTTTGCTTTTTTTTCTGGTTAGCAATATATTGTCAGGAACCTTTTTTAGCATGATATTATATATATATATAATGTATGTATAAATAATAGTTAAATAATAATTAAAGACATAAGACATAAACGGGTAATTAAAAATAACAGGAGTTAAGCTTGTGGTAACTAAACATGTCAATTAACAAATTCCATGTTATCTGTTAGCAGTTAGTACCGCATTAACAAATTCCATGTTATCTGTTAGCTAAGTACTGTAGGTCCAGTGTTTACAATCACTTTGACATCCAAGGGAAAAACGAAGAGAGCAGGTACAGCCTGTAGGTTTTAGACACATTATAGAATGAACACAATGATACTAATGACACTGATTATCCTGATGGACTCTGCGGAGGAAGCCGGGGTGCTAACGGGTTAGACCTTTAATTACCGTCTGTCAGTCTCAGACACGGCAGCTCATTATCAGGCAGCGGAATTAGACCAGTGTTGTCAGAGACATTATCAGCTCTAATGACTGACGGCCAATGATGCAAAACAGCTCACAGTGGACAGAAATGACTGGCAGTCAATTGGAAAAAGGCCACAGGACCAGTCAGGAAACGGAGGAATTAGAATTCATATACTTCTTCACCGTACATTATTATCACAGCAGGGACGAGTTTTCCAGAGTGGAATAGGTTTCAAATCCATTTCCGCAACAGTTGATGTCTGGAACTACCTGCTGACTGACATTCTCCTTTCCTCCATCCTCCTCATTAAGCTCTTTTTCCTTTATCGCATTATTTTTTATTATTATATTATGTTTGTGAAATGAATTTGATTAATACTTGTCAACCCATATCCAGAGTGACAAGGAATAATTCCACCATCCATCGACTTATCATCACTGTCAATACAATAAATGTGTTTAACAAACACTGCATTCATCAACGTTATGAAGCCAATATTAATACTTAGATTAATCGGAAAACAAAATAAAAACCTGCTGTTAGCTAATTAGCCATTTTCTTCCAGCAATTTACAAGAGTTTGAGGAACGTTGAGTTATTTCAATTAATCATAATTAATCATGACTGTTCTGCAGTCGGTATATTTACCATAAATTAAAAAATACAATTTCACATGCTTGTTATTTTCACACTGACAGCCGCTAGGGGGCACTCTAGGCATGTGTAGCATTATCTGCTCCTCTGGTGTGCGACTTATACTGTGGAACACTTATAGTCCGGAAAATACGGGTAATCACGTTAAAAACTTTGAATCATTTGACAGCCCTAATTTGTTGTTATTTTTTAAGTTCAATTTGCATTAAATAAAACACGAACAGAAAATGTGATTAAAAAAGTGGGAAAATGTCTTCCTGGCTGTTTTGTGAAGGGAAAAGAAGAATTTACCAGGATAAACTTTTCCAGGACAATGGACATTTTCCTAATTTTTCATACATTTTTACATTAGTGGAAAAATTGGTCATTCATTTATTTAGGGTTTATTTTGCTTCTATGGGGCTTCTGTACAGAGCTGAACCTAAGAAATGACTGCAAGTGAAGAAAAAGTGCGGGTGCGGAGAAACAGGACACGGGGAAACAGCAGGATAAATAAAGACGATGTCAGGAGTGACATTTTTAAAAACTCAAAAACAACTTGGTGAAAAGAAAAGGCAGCAGAAGTAGCAGCAGAGTCCGAAACTGGGTGATATAACACACTGAGTCACCGTCACGCATGAAAAGACTGCAGCTGTTCTAGGTGGAAGATGTGACGGCGAGCCGTGGACAGCACCAGCCTTCACAAAAAAACAAAGAGGAAGAAAATCAGGACTGAGAATACTGAGTGAAAACTGGAATTTGGATGCTTTGTTTTCCTCATTAATAAACAATAAAATAACAAATGTTTTTATTTCAGACACTAATTTTGAGACAATTCGAAATTAGTGATGGAGTGGTACACGTTTTAGCTCAGGTTTCAAAATCTTTTTGGACTGAAAGCCTTTCACTCCAATGAACTTCATTTAAAACCCAACATTTTATGGGACAATTAAAAAAAATTCAAAACTGAAATTAATTTGCCCTGCTGCGCCCCCTACAGAGGACCCGTCCCCCAATTTAGCAAGCGCAGCATCAGCTCTGAGTTCAATTCCACCTCCCCCTGACGTCTTGTCCTTAATTTCCTGTGTCAGGAATAAAACTCTACCAAATCACTAGGCTGACTAGCAAATAATAATGTCCAATTATTATTATATTAAACTGACTCAATGTCTCACTATAGAAGACATGAAATTAGCAATTAGGTTCATCGTCTTAGCAACGTCCACTTCCCCCGGGGACAGAAATGTTTTCACCCCCCCCGCGAATTGAAATACTATTGAGAACCTGATAACATGTATATGTTTATCTGTACAAACCACTGTATGAGTTGCTGCCCCCTAGTGGCTGGAGGCTTGTTATCATTCCAGCATCACAGCAATGGTACACTTCATGTTCAGCATATTCCATTGGAAGCCCCTCACGACCCCCCCTACGCACCTCACCATGCCCCGCCCACTATTGGATGATGTTAAAAAACTGCTGACACTGTTGACCTACTTAAATGAACTACTCACGAGGGAAATGAGACGCTGGACTGAAGGAGGAAAACAAACAACAAACACGGACTGGTGGCAGCTGGTTGTTATTACAGAATATTGCATGGCTGGATCAGCATGTTTTTGAATTATAAAAAAGAAGAAGAAATTAAGAAAAGGTCTCAGTGCGTCCCTTGCTTCCATTAGGGCATATGTTCCAAACTCATGGCCCGCGGGCCAAATGTGGCCCGGCAACTCATTTTATGTGGCCCGCGAAAGCTTTTAAAGAATTGAATTGCCTTATAATAAAGTCCATGCTGCTTACTTCAGTTACTTAACTTGATAAATAGCAATGTACAATATTTCTAACCTGGATATAATACTCAATTACAGAAACATGTATAAATACGTTATGCGGTAGTTACAGTCTACAGTAGTGGAGGGCGGATCGATCCGAATTTCGATAGTATCGATACCAAGTCGGTGTTGTTACTGGATCGATTCTAGCCTGGTGAGATCGATTCTTTACTTTAAGTTCCGAAAAAAAATACAACAGAAGAATGGCAGAGACGAAGAGGAGCGCCGTGTTGCTGTATTTTCCAGTCGAAAAAACGAGACAACAGCAAAATGTGGGATTTGTTAAATGCTAGTCAACACTAAACAATTTATATAAACATAAAAAAGCATCCAAAAGACAACATGGAGCTACAAAACGGAGAGACGGAGGAGATAAAAAAAATTGATAAAAAAGCATTTTCTATTTAATTGTAAATACTGTCCTAATTCTGTCCTGGGTTTTAACTATTTAATAATAAAAAATGAAAATTAATTAAGATTTAGCAATTCAATGACGCATCCACCTTATTCACCGAAAAGTATCGGAATCGATACCAAAATATACAGTATCGCACACTACAGTTACAACCAGCCGTTCAAGGGGAACTATATCTCTGATGTGTCCCCAGCCCTGGTAAAACTTTGACACCCCTGCATTAGGGCATTTATTTGTAAATCTGGGATAGGCAAACTTAAAAACAAAACTGTCCTAATCCTCGATTTTCTGACCAAATGTCATTCTTGATGCACAGTCCGTTAGCCGGGACACCGAGGGCACGAGCTGAACTTGTATAAACTCCACGAAGTGCTGATGTGAAAATGCATTTGCAGCTCAGTTAACGAGTACAAACTCACATTGACGTCCATACGTGCACACGGTGGCTGCACATCAGACGTTTCCATTCATTGATCCGCGTTATCGATCAGTGACACTAAGCCCCAAGCTATGGTACCTGCTAACATGATGATGTCACAATGACGATTGGAACTGAAATATGGTTCAATTCCAAGCTTTTAAGATATTTACACAACACACATACACACACACACACAGCTGGCAGTTGCCGAAATCCAGACTGGATGTGATCCTATGATCCAGCTAATGATCCTTCAGCAGATCAGCAGCAGATTACACAGTAGATTACTGCGGCGGTGCGACGTCTGCAACATCACAGACGGTAATCCACAGCTACGCGCACAGTTACACAACACACATACACACACACACAGCTGGCAGTAATCCACAGCTACGCGCACACACACGGATAAACTTTGCTGACGTCTTCTCTTCCGTGTAATCATTTTAATTTTTTTAAACTCTCTGA